AACTTTTAGGAGACAGTTAAGAGCAGAAACCTCTTTAGTCACTTTGATCTAGCTGATTTAGTAAAGCAGCATCCTCAGAGGGTAGCGTGGGACCCGAGAGATTAAGTCGTCCAGCACTCCCTGATCTTTCTTCCGTTCACAAAGTCTTATAGCATCCTCTTAGTAATGCTCTTTTGCCAGAGCTGGCAGCTCTGCTAGACATCTCATTCCCTGCCCATTGCCATGACTCACAAATATTTTTCAAATGTCTGAAAAAAAAGTTAAAAGGAAAAGGAGGTCCCTAAGCAAAGAGGGTCAGATTTTCCTCAAGCTTGAGCCAGTACATTTGCCAACTACATGTAAAAGGCTAAATATTTTCCCTTTACACCTACACCAGAGACACTCTGCAGATACGCAGATGGCTGGGCCCTTGCGAGTCCAGCCAAGGAAGCGTACGACGGTGCTTCAGGGTTTGAAAAGAAGCTGGAATGGGTCCTGTAGTCTGGTATTGGCAGCCAGCATCAGCGATCTGGATGGCTGGATGTAGGAAAGAGCCAAATCTGTGGAGGTTATTGGAACATAGGGCTTGCACAGAATGGCATTTCTTGCTAGCAAATGGCTCAGACATGCCCTTGGACTCTACAGTAGAGAGCGGGCTAGAGCTGGAAGGTGAATGCTGTCCTCTCTGCCTGTCTGCCAACCCGTGCAAGTCTAGCTGGGAGCTGGGAAGCTTAAATCCAAGAGTGACCTTTGTGTCATCTAGCTATAGAGGCCACCTAGGATCCAGTGTCCAATTCTGGGCATCTAGCTGCCAGAAGAGGTGAGCTCGCAGTGGGATGGGCGCAGAGAAGGGTTAGTAAGATGGCCAGGAGAATGGAGAGCTTTTCCCTGGGAGGAAATTAAGGTGCCATGGTTTGTTTGACTTTGCAGATGAAGGATGAAAGGGGAGATGGCCGTCTTCTCTAAATACCCCTGGCAGGAGAGAAAAGCTGCCTCAAGGAAAGGATCACATTGGCACAAAAATAAACGGGTATAGACTGGCCATTTAGTCTGGGAATTTCTAACCATCAGAGTTACAAAGTTCTGGAATAGCATTTCAGTCAAAGGGATGGGGAAAATTGAATAGTTTTCAAAATAATACTTTAATCAGCCCGTGAAAGGATTATATGGAGTGTTGTTTGCCAACAACAACAGGGGACTGAATGCTCAGGAAGTCCCCTCTGGTAGTATGTTCCCAAGTTTTATCCTGACACACCTATGTGAAGCTCAAAGATTTAGGTGTACCAAAATATGCTGTTCCTCAGGAGACTGTACTGTATGAGAAAACTGAAAAAGGCCCAGCAATGCATGGAGCCCCTGCACTGGGAGGGGGCTGATAGGTAGGATGCATCTGATAGTGACAGGACTTGCAAAAACACAGAGCTGAAGAGCCTTTGTGGGCAAAATGATTCATCACTAAGCTATGTAAGACGCTGGATGGGTGCTGAGCATCTCTTCTGTTACTTTGGACCTGCCTAAGGGATCAGAAAAAGCCAAGAAGTGCTAGGACCCTTCAAAGGTGCCATGACACTGGTCATTTTTGGACATGAGTTTTGATTTGTTGCTGTAACTGTTTCTGTACACACAGATTTTTCGCTTGCCTCCCTGGAAAAGCAAGTGAAACACAGCAGTTTGAGGTGGGGAGTTCCCTCCCCAGGAGTGGTGGGATGGCCCTGGAGGGCTGTGCCATGCCTGAGAGACAGGTTGCCCTGGAATGAAACCACTTCAGTGGTTTTATTCCGCACCGCCTGACTTGGTCGGGATCATGGCAGACCCACAGGAGGCGGGAGGGAAGCCCACCACAAGCAGCTTTTTCTTGCACAGCTTTGCTTTCTGAGCTTTGATTAGGAATGCTGCTCTGCCACCCTCTCTCCCAATGGTGTCCCTTTTGCTCCCCATGGGGAGGTTGTGTGCCTCTCTGCTCCTCTTCCTACGTCTGGAAGAGCATACTCTTAAGTTAGATTTTTCTAGCATCTGAATGCCACTGCCATTTAATTTATGAATGCCGCAGTAGATTTTGTTGTGCTTATTTAGATCAGGCAGAGTTCAAGTATTGTACAGTCACGTGTAAAGGTGATGGCAGATGAGAGCTCTTTATGTCATGCTGGATTTCTGCAGCTCACTTACACTATATCTGCCAAATTGCAGGCAGGAAATTTTTGAATTAATGACAAATATTTCCCAACAGTAGTTAGTTAAGTGCCTGCACATGTTAAATTAACCGTAATAATCTTGTCATAGTCATAAATTAATAACCTGCATCTCATCGGGCTTTGAGTATTGAAGTAAAACATTCGTGGTGTATTCAAAGAAGTGAGCCTGGGGACAAATGGGATAAGTCCCCAAATGGGTCCTTTCTGCCCCTTTTAAACATCATTTTCAGGTTCCCGTGTAGCCTTTGGGGCTTACTTGGCACAGGGGGTAGGACCCAGGGGGTCCCAGGGGATGGGAATGCAGAGCACCTAACCACGAACAGCTAGGTAAGCCTGGCTTCCCTCTGTCCTCCACAGAGAGGCGTCTCCTTGGAGTAGGGTGATTTAGACCTATTAATATTTGAAGTGTCTTTTTTTCTTCATTGCCTAGAGGGAGATACAGCCGGGAACAAATGTGCACGTGAGAGCTTTCTGCCAAAGGGATCTTAAAACAGCGAGAGGTTTCACAAGGAATGTGCTCCTCAGGTCAGAGGAGGACAGGGAGAATTTCTGCCCCAGTGGTGGAAGTGAGAAGAGACTGAGGGCAAGTGGTGATGAGGGAAAGGGGAACATTTCTCCCAGTGTATTCTCCACCAGTGGTCCATGGGACCCCTTCCAAGGGAGATCCAGGGAGCGGGATCCAGTTCCCTTTGCCTCCTGCTTTCCACTACGCCACGGGGTGCCATGGGGAGCTGGGCCCTGGACCAGAGAGGGCACTTCAGTCTGTGCCATTGGCTCCAGCAGAGCTGGACCAAGGGACAGGCCTGGAGCTGAGCACCGCTTCTGTATGACAGACTCACTCTGGTCCCTACTCTGAGAGATGCCTCTTGGAGGACATCGGGAAAAGCATTTAATTCCTCCATACTTTCGTACTCATCTGTAAAATGCTGGTGCCAACAATTCTTTTCCCTCTTTGGAGAAGGATGGAGAGCCTTTTCAAGTTGTAGGCTGGTTATCATCCCAACATTGTATATGTATGGACTGGTTCAGCATAAATTTATCATGGTAGGCTTTGTAGTGGTATGAGTAGAAACAACTGTACCTTTTTGTAGTACAGTTTCTTGAAACACTATGATGTTCTCCAGAAAGTCCCATGTGACTTGAGGTCAGGGACAGGTGTGAATCTCAGGTCTTTCAGAGAGCCGCAAGAGCTGGCAGCTGCCTCTTCCACTCTCTTTTCTTCTCTCCATCTCCAAGTAAAGCGGCAGCATCATGGTAACGTCAGCGTCGTTCTCTAAACAGTGGCTGGCTTCCACCAGGCCAGTAATGCTCCCCTGCTGCAGTATGCATCCCCCCCATGTGCTCTCTGCAGGACTTTGCTTCTCAGTCCCTCCCTTCTCCTCCTGACTCCGTCGTACCCTGAACTGTCCGTATCCTCTAACAGCCAGCCTAGAGGCTCATCAGGGCTGTGCCCGGGCTACAGGTGTACTGGCTGCTCAGCTGGCTAGCAAGAGGAACAAGCAACTGCTTTCTTCCTGCTGTCGGCTTTCCTGCAGTGGGGACTCTGCACAATCACCAGTTTTCATAAAACTGGTAGGAGCTTCATAGCTTTGAGATGCGTCTCTCCATTGAACTCAGCTGAAAAGGACCAATGGCTTCAAAAGCGGTGGGGAAACGGGAAAATGGAGCAGGATAGACAGTGCAGTCACGTAAGTGGTGTTTCCTTAGGAAATTAAACTTTAAGGAGGAGTAGCATCGTATAGTGATGTTTATCACCTGGCCTCCCGCACCGGTTTAAGATGAAAGCACTGTCAGGGCTGGATCCATCTGTTTTGCAGATGAGAGAGGATGCACGATCGGTATGACCCTGTGACTGGTAGCATATTCTTCTGCTGCTCTGGATAGATAAGGAGCAGGAGCCCTCCCAGTGACTATATGTCCCTTACTGTTGTTATAAACGCTGTCAGGGAAGGTTTAAACTCTTCAGTGCTGTCCTTTCTTGTACTTTCTCTGGTCCCCCTCCTCATTTTGTTCTGAACGTAACATTTTTGCATATAATCTTCTGAATATATGAGCACACATGCTCACTGTTACTTCTCCTGGACAAATTGGCACATGCAAATGCTTTCTACTTCCCAGTCCAAGGGAATGAGTGGGCCTGTGCAGGAGGTGTAGGGCGTGCTAGAGACTTGGCTCTGGACTTCTGACAAGGCAGCAGTAAAAACTATTAAGCTGCATTCAGGGTATCGACTTCCAAAAGTCTGCAAGTCTGAAGTGGCAACGGGAGGTGAAACGTGCAAAGTGACTTGCCAGAAGTTATTTTCACTGAGGTTATTGCTGCAGGGAAGGAGCAAAGGGGAAAACCAAGAATCTGAGCAAGTGGCAGTTATTTTCATTTGCTCATATCCTTCTTTTGGAGCACAGAGTGTGGTTTGGAGCACAGACCTGCAAGTATACAGGGAGAGAAGAGCTACAGGAAAATATCTCCTCTCTTTCAAACGCAAAATAACAAATATGTCCTGAATGGATATTAAGAATGAAAACTTTGCGCAGGTTATCCATGAATGTGAAACATGCGCTGCTATCAAGCAAGCCAAGCGGTTAAAGCCTCTTTGGTATGGAGGACGATGGCTAAAATATAGGTGCCCCTGATGACACCTTTCATGAGCAGCTCCTGGAAATCAACCTGCTTATGTTCTGGCTAGTCTCAGCTGGTAGGCTGGTGTATCTCTGCCTGGAAGGGCTCAGGCTTTTCTTAGAATATTTAATTAATTCTCTGTCATGAGGGAGTAAATGACAAAAAATGAGGGCTCTTACATTTGTGAAATGCTGATTGTGTTTTTCTTATAGATTGTGGAGGAAGGTTCCGAGCAAAGATGAAAGGACTCAGCAATGTCGTTTATTGTGGCGTGGTCAGCCTGTTCACGTAAGAAATTATTTGGGTTAGGAAGACTGTCCAACTTAACTGGGCTCCTACCTGAAACCCCTGCGGTAGTCATGTGTTGCTGTGACCTTGCATTAAAAATCTCGTGCTCTTTTTTCTGGAAGTGATCTGAGTGTTACTCAGATGGAGGAAAGAGAAAGGAGCCCATGGCTCATCTCTCTCCCATCTGGGTTCAAGAAAATGATTATCAATTGAAAGCCGAGAGGGACTAAATTAGGAAGGGTCAAAAGAGGCTAAATAAGGTCCTTCCCAATTAAAAGCCTGCCACATGTACCGCTTCAGAGCGAGCCTCGTACAACAGTTAGACAAGAGTCCGTTCAGCTTTGCATTTGGCCTGTGGGGTTTAACGCAACAGGAATGTGGAATGTGTTTACAAGGTAGCAGTTATTGCTGAAATATGTGAGCGCTGTTGCCTGGGGAAATTTCAGAGGATTGAGATTGCGCTGACAGTGGCTGTACCTCTTGGACGATTCATGTGGATGTTGAGGAAGAAACTGGCCTCTGAGTCTGCAGCCAGAGCCCTGCAGAGGGAATGCAGAGGAAGATGCTCCCCTTCTCCACCGCCTCCCGCTGCCCTCCCGCAGCTCCAGACGGCTCTCATTCTGTCCTCGCCGCTCCTTCATGCTAGGATGACCCAGGAGGGCGAACCGGTCCTCGGGCTGGAGACATGGCTTCTTGTTATCCCTGCATCCGAGGTGACTCCAGGTTAGCGCATGACTGCAGCCGGTTCGGCAGAACGGTGTGGGTTGAAACAAGGCAAAGCCAAGGGAGTGCTGAGGACTGAGGGCCCCTGATGGCACCTTTCATGAGCAGCTCCTGGAAATCAACCTGCTTGTGTTCTGGCTAGTCTCAGCTGGTAGGCTGGTGTATCTCTGCCTGGAAGGGCTCAGGCTTTTCTTAGAATATTTAATTAATTCTCTTTGCATTCCCTACCACCTTTCTTTTTTCTCTTCTTTCAGTATTCAGTTTTAAAACTATTCTGCACATGGTGCATAGATGATCACAATGATTACTTCATCTCTCCAGCATAGGAATTCCCAAGGAAGCCAGTAAAGCCCAGCTTAATCTCTTCATTTCATGCACTTTCCTCATTACTTGTGTTTGGCCAAACCGGACAGTATTTTTCATCACATTAATGGCAAAATATTTGGAAGTAGGCCTGAGATACGGCTATATTCTGTGTTCAGATGAGCATGACATTTGAAAAGATTTGTCATTAGCTTTTAAAGAAACTTAATAAAACAGTTGAAATGACACTGTTGAGTATACCACACATTATGCAGCTGAGAGTAAATACTCCATGCAGTATAGGTGGGCTCAGAAAGGATGAAAATTGGGCCACATTCAGCTCTGATGTTAGCAATTGCCTTCATTGTCTGGTTAACTTGGCCCACTGAGTTTTCTTCAGAATAGCAGATAAAGCTGAATAAGGATCTCATTCTGGGTAGTGCTAAACACTTTCTGCATCTTAAACTCCCATTAACCTCTCTCTGCACTGTACAAGAACACGCTTACATTAGGCTAATTGATGGGGCAGCAGGTGTAAGTGCGCCGTTCCTCAGGGCTTGCTGTGGTTCCAGGTGAGTCTTATTCTTTCTTTGCCACAAAGTAAGTGTGTGTGTGTGCATAGGTATATAGACAATTTATTGTATTCATGGTTCCAAAAAGCAAGGAAGGATCAATGAAAGCCCTGTTATGTTTCCTTGAATTTAAAGGCATTGAGACCTTATAACAACATTGATATTTCTACTCGTTCTGAATACCAAAAGACCTGGTATAAGTATTTTTGTGAAATAACTTCAGGAATGTTCCCAGTGCTGAATTCAAGAATAATTGCAATTGCGACATGTAGAATCAAATGTAATTTTCTTCTAACTAAAGCAAGACATTTTACTTTCTTTTCTATTGCTTTTCAAGGAGAGGCACAGTGAATTTTTAATATTTTCCTGACCCTTGACTCTGAGTGACGTTAGCCTGCTATTGTACAAGAAAGATTAGCTTCTTCAGAACATTATTAGCCAAAGTACTCTACGTGAACACTTGATATTATTTAAGTTCAAAATACAGATTGTGCTTCTGTCAGTAAAGGTGGCTGATACAAGCCTAAAACTCTGGTAGTATGTTGAGCTGTTTGTGCTCCTAAATATAGCAGAGGATCTCTGTTAGGGAGCCGGCCAGGGAAGGTCTTGTGTCTTTGTGTTAAACAGCTATGTCTTTATTATCCCTGCGTGCTGAGAAAGAAGAAGGAGAGCCAATGTGGCTTTATTACTCTAACAGGTAATAATAATGCTTTCCATGTTGGTAGAATAGATCTCCTGGCCCTTCTATTAAATCACAAAAAATAGAGAACTGAAAGCAAGAAGGAAGGGGTTACTCCATAGGAATAAGACATTTCACATGAGTTTGCTTTATTCTTTTGCCAGTGTAAACTCCCCCCCCCTTTTAATTCTTTTATATAGTTGTTTGGTTTGCTTTGTTGTTGGGTTTTTTTGTTTAAAGAAAGCATGCAAGCTAAGGCTTTTCCCGTGAATGAAATATGACCTTTGACAAGGTGTATACCCCCAAGTTACTGAGCTCTATCAGGGAAGCAGAGTTCCCTGCACCCTTCCGGGGGACAGCCTATTCCCTGCACTATCCAGGACATCAGACTGGACAATCCTGCTGGTGCCTTCTGACCTCTTATGTTTGTGTGTTCTGTTGCAATGCACTTTTTTAAAAACAAAAAGCTCACTCTTCAAAAGCTGCTTGGGAGGAAAGTTTATTTTATGGAGTGTTTCTCATTTCTCTCCAAAACGATGGGGGAAGGAGGGTATCAATTCTCTTGAAAAAAACAGGTAGAGAGAGCAGGGTTCCCCCCCCCCAATCCTTGGAAAATTTTTTTGTTTAAAGAAAGCATGCAAGCTAAGGCTTTTCCCGTGAATGAAATATGACCTTTGACAAGGTGTATACCCCCAAGTTACTGAGCTCTATCAGGGAAGCAGAGTTCCCTGCACCCTTCCGGGGGACAGCCTATTCCCTGCACTATCCAGGACATCAGACTGGACAATCCTGCTGGTGCCTTCTGACCTCTTATGTTTGTGTGTTCTGTTGCAATGCACTTTTTTAAAAACAAAAAGCTCACTCTTCAAAAGCTGCTTGGGAGGAAAGTTTATTTTATGGAGTGTTTCTCATTTCTCTCCAAAACGATGGGGGAAGGAGGGTCTATCAATTCTTGAAAAAAACAGGTAGAGAGAGCAGGGTTCCCCCCCCCGTCCCTTGGAAATGTGTTGTGCTTGTAATAGAGAAAGGAATGTGCTGTTGGCAGGGGCATGGCAGAAGGGCTGGTCAGGATCCGACAGGAGAATCTGCACAGCCTTTGGAATAAACAGGGACAGATGCACCAGGGAGGAGTTTGGGCGGGTCAGGTGAAGGAAGACACACACTGCCCAAGGGCAGCAAAAGAAGCAAGTGGAAACAACTGAACACCCAGAAAACCCATTGAAAGGCTTGGGAAAATGCACCTGCTGCCTCTTCTGCTTTTCCTGTCGTAGCTCGTGAAGTCCAAGATGCTGGTCATGGCAGGTCTCGCCCTGTTCGCACAAAGGCTCAGAAGGGGAGCCCATGCAGTGAGCTGTATCCTATCTCCCCTCTCCCATCTTCCTTTTAGCAGGTATTTTATTACTTGAGCTCCCTTGATGTCTCTTCTGTCAGTGATCACAGGGTCATCAGGCACCACCTTATGTTTATACAGTATGCAACAGGGGATTTGAGTGATAGATGTGAGTACTGCAAAGGGAAGGGCTGGTGCAGAGAGATAGTAGCGTGTCAGTAGTTATATGTAGCTGGTCCCTGTACCACAGCTTGCTATTCCTCCACCTCCACTGGTGCTGGAGGTGGAGGAATAGCAAACTCTGGCACAAGGAGCAGCATTGGAAGAGATTATGTGTTGGTGCAACTAACTTTTGTTAGTCATTTCTGAGAGAAAGGGCAAATTACTCACAGCTAGCTCTGTTCATTTTGACAGCGATTGGGAAGAGGATGGGAAGATCTTTAAAAGGCAGAGTTTTAAAGAGGAGGGCATTGACTTTGTGTTCAGGCTAGGTGCTGTCACCTGGATGCCAGCCTAGGACCCACGCAGCCAGGGAGAGGATGCTGGTAGCAAAGCTACTGGCAGCCAGCCTTGCTCAGAGCATGAGGGGTGGCACACAGGCTCTCACCACACCATCGTGGTTGCGCAATATACAGATTTTCTAATAACATGAGAGCATGCTACAAGGGTAGCACTAGCTGGAGAAAAATGTCAGCCACAAGCAAAGAAACAAAACCTTTTATTAACCAATAATGCAGATAAGAAAAGATGGGGAAGGTGTACCAGGTTCAGTGTGAGACTGATGAAGATGGATAATAAGCTATCATGTTTTAGACAGCAAACCATTTCTGAGAATACCACATTTTGAAGATGATGTCCCCATGGACATCAGTCAGCATAAACAAGTAGGTGCTAACGGTATCTGCACTAAATTATTAAAACAATCAGAGAACACATGAAGTCAGAGACTTTGCAAAGTAATACTTTTTGTTTACTGATTCAAAACATTTGAACAAAATGGAAGGAGGAGATCGTCTGCCCAACTTTAAAACAAAAGGCAAAGTTGTATACAAAAAGTGACAGGGTGTTTTTCTTCTTGGTTTGGCATGAAGTTTATCTTTGATATTTTATATAGACGTGGTAGAGGAAAACAGTGCAGTTTTCTCAGAAAATCTCTCTTCTCTGGGTAAATTATTTTTAATAATTCAAAAAGGATGGGGACGCAGCTAGAATATGTACAGATCCTGTATAGGTGCTGAACATATGGTAGAAAGGCAGGGTTGGCCCTTCAGTCACAGTGCTGGGACTCCGGATAAAGCTCCTAGGATGGCTGTGTGTATGTAAGCATGTACTCAGGTGCATTTGTTCATTTGATTTAAAAATTGGAGGCCGAATAAAAAGTGATATCTGTACTCCTTTGACATAAAGAGAGGTCTGGAGCAGGCAGATGTATGGCTTTGGAAATGATGTTGCAGTTGTTATATCTTCTGTCCCTTTATGTGAGCTTTTTGGATGTGTTTATACAAACTAATTGGATTCCCAGAGACCTGCATCTCACTCATGTGGACACTCCTAATACCTGGGCTCCTGTGTGCCATGCTACCTCAGGGGGAGCACTTCACTGTGCTTCCAAGATCTCCTCTTGCAGAAGGGGGAGTAGAGAGGAGAGGTTTATCTTAGTAACATAAGCTCAAGATGATGGGTGACTTCTGGAAAGGTTTTTATAATTGGGCACGCTGTGAGAGATTTAGTTTTGGCTAGGCTCAGGCGTTATCGCTTGGGAGGACTGAAAGTGGTTTGAGAGCTTGAAAGGGGGGGTGATGTTGGGATCTCTGTTAGCAGGAGAAGGTCTGAGCAGAGAGGCGTGTTGAACGCAGGGTTTCTTGCACTGGGCGAATACCTCCCCATCACAAGCTCCTTACCCTGCTCTCCTACACTTCCTTCTAGCACACCCTGCTGCGCAATGTCTTCAGCAGACGGTCTCCCCGAGTTGCAGGGATAAACCTTTTTTCTTGGGAGGCAGGTGATCACGACACGCTTTTGGACCTGTGCTATGCCAAGGCTGGATGCCATAGTGGCATCCTGGAGCTGTGTCTGGATGGTGCTCTCACTAATCTGCGTGCCGGAGAGCTGGAGCATCTC